ACGATAAATAATAGTGATGATGAGAATAATAATAATAATGTTTAAAAAAAAACAAAGAGACAATGACCGTAATTTCTTTTTTTTTTTGTTCATTTCCCTAATGAAAATTTCTCACAGGTACATAAAAAAAAAAAAAAAGAAAATTAGAAAACGACCAAGGAACAGCACATGGCAAACACCCCATGACTCAGCATTGAGTTGATTGCACGTGATGAAAGAAAATTTCAACCAAGACTCGTGACGTCAACCATATGAGGAGATTGCGATATCTCATGACAGTCGTAATTAACTATTTGTTAACTTTATGCGTTCAACATAAAATGCAAAAAAAAAAAAAAAAAAATTATTTTAAATCCTTCCATTTTTGTACTAATCCAAACCTTTTGCAACGACAAAAGAGAAATTCAATTAATTTTATATATTTACACACTGAACATCATTTTTTTCCAAATGCATTCGATCACACCATTTTAAAAATCATATGCAGAAAATGCTTTACCTAAAATGTTTCGAGCAAAAAAATTACTTGCAGTACTTTCGACAAACTAAAATACATCATAACATTAGATTTCTAATTGTTAGTAAAATGTTCGATGAAAGTTTGAATGGTAACTCTTATTGATTCGAAACCATTACATTAATAAAAAGAATGGATATTTCTTAAAAAATCCTTTCTCTGACCATAACGAAAAGTATAACTAAGTTAAATGAGGGATGTTGAAGTGGTTTATGAGAAATAATATACTATTTATATACAAATTTTCATTAAACATTACCAGTCTCTCTCATATTGCACATTTTAATAATCTTACACTAGTAGAAATTTACATTGTGTATATTTGCCTCCCTTTTATCGCATTTAATGTTTTAATTCTTTGTGGGTGATTTTTAATATCATAATTAGAAATATATGGTATCAACTGTGTATTACACATTATTGCTCAAGTATATTGCACCCCAGGTAACAGAAACATTTAAATTGAAACTATAGTATGTAAAATATAGAAATAAATTAATGTAATGAGCTATAGAATATCATTATTCCAACTAGGATTAAAAAATTTTATTATAACTTCGGCCTTGGAAATTTAAGTTAAATTTTTATTACAACAAATAATCTAAACAATTTATAAACAAATGAAGTGTTTAAAAACATTATAAGGACAATTTTTTTAAAAAAAAATAAATAAAAAGAAAACGTTTCTAAATGCTCAAATAGTCAAATGGAATAATTTTTAACGCCATTTGATGACGCATCGATCCTAGTCTACATCATTTGGGAGATTGAAAAATCCACGTACTCCCTAGTAAAAATATTTGGTAAAATACAAAAATAAAAAAGTTATAACTGCTTAGTATTTCAACTGGAATTCCATTATATTTATATATAAGGTATAAATTAGAGGTGCAATGGGAAATAATCAAAATTTTTCTGTCAAGCGGGCAGTGTCCCTTGAGTCTTGCAGAGTCGGCTATTTCAATTATATGGAATCAAGAGAAATAATTAGTTTTTTATATTTATTTTAACATACCATCATAGCGCTCCGCTTGTTCTGCTAATTTAGCCTTATATACGTTATCCTCCCTTTCGGACATTGTAGATGAATTTGGATTTTATACACTATGCACAATACAACCACAAAAATACGTATATCTAAAATGGCCGCGCCCGCCAACACTGAAAATAGTTCCTAAATTTTTTTAAATATTCATCCGCCACTATGACGTCAGAGTGTTGCCAACTTAAATTTTTTAAAACTTTTCATAGAACGCGGCAATATGAAAGTTGATGTCAGTTATTTCATTTTATTCTTTTCGAAAGTAAGGTAAAAAAAAAATTTTTTTTTAAAAGATTTTTTTAAAAAAATACTTTTATTTTATAATTAATAATATAAATACATTAAATAATATTTTAAATAATTTTTAAAATCAAAAACAAAAATAATAATAAAAATTTATTTATTTATTTTTTTTTTTTTTTTTTTTTTTTTAGGTTTTGAATATTAAAATAATTTTTTTTTTTTTTTTAATTTAACCTATTTATAAATATTAGGGAAAGTAAAAAAAAATTATTTTTTAAAATTATAATACAATTATAAATTATTTATTGTTAAAATTAATATTACAAAATATTTTGGTAATTATTTATTCACTTAAAAAGAATTTTAAAAAGAAACCGGAAATACAAATTTTACTTTCACAAATTAAAAAAATTTTTGTTTAGTTTAATAGGAAATTACAATTTAATTTATATCGAAATAGTAATTTTAATTTTTTTTTTTTTTTAATTGATTACAGAATATGATTCATTCTAAATTTGTAATTTAAATTTCCCACATTTTCCATTTCGTAATACGTCACAGTCAATCATGGCGGTTAATTACCACCAAAGATTTGAAAATCATTTATTAGAACAATAATTTTTTTTTATATATTTTTAATTTAATTTAAAAATAAAATAAAATAAAATGGAGCAACCTGAAGTTGAATTATCTGTCGTGGATGTATACGATATAGCATCGGAAATTGGAAAAGAATTTGAAAAAATTATTGATGGTCACGGACCTGATATTGTTATGAGTTTAATGCCAAAAGTTATTTATGCTCTAGAACATTTAGAAAATTTCTCTTTACAAAATGAAAAAGAAAATACTATTGTACAGGATTTAAAAAGCAAAATAACTAAATTAGAGTTAGAAAAAATTGAAAAAGCAGAGGATCAAAAAAGGTTTGAAAGGGTAAATTTACATTTATATATATATATTTATTATGTAAATAATTTTACAGTTTATAAATTTTTTACTGTGCACACTTAAATTTTTTTAAACATGAAAGCTCTCAAGTGTTACAATATCTTTATTTAAATGAAAATAAAATGCATTTTAAATTGTTTTTATAAAAAATCTTACCAACATCTGTTACCTTTATTGAATTGATCGGTTTTGATAATATACATTATTCAAATTTTCATCGGAAAACATTTTTAGGAATTAGAACAAATTGAAGATCATTGGAAATCGGAAACAAAGGATTTAGTTGAAGTACTTGGAAAAGTTCAAGAGGAAAATAAAAGGTTAAGAGGAACAGTAGCAGATCAAAAAAATCTTAGTGCTAGTAATTCGACAATTGCAACAGAAGTAGATATTGTAGTTTTGCAAAGGTTAAAAGCAATGGTTGACAGCCAGAGAGAACAAATTAGAAATAAGGAAAAAGAATTGGCGAATAAAGTTTCCGAATTAGAATCCGTAAGAATAATAATAAAACATTTCCATTTTTTTTTTTTTTTATAACTCTAAATTAATGTAATATTTTTTTAAAAAATTTTGTATTACACAAGCTTTATAAAATGAAAAAAAATAATTATGTTGTGCCAGCTTACAACGGAAGTTGATAGACTAACAAAAACGGGAAGGGAATTAAGAAGAAAACATAAAATTGTACAAAATCAAGTGAGGACATTAATAGAAGAAAGAGCTGATTTTATCACACAATTACAAGATCAACAAAAAGAAATAGTAACACTTAAACAAAACTTAGGAGTAGCTGAAAAAGAAAATGAGGATTTAACTAAAAATTCAATCGGTAAGTTTTTTCATTAATTATTTAAATCAATTTTAAATTACAGAACATAAATACTACAACTGAATCAGAAAAAAATTTTAAAAATATTTTTAATAAAACATAATTCTTAAATTAAATTTTTTTTTTTTTTTTTTTCAGAAGCAAACCCAGTAGATTTGACCAACAAAGCTGTTTTCGATTTAGACGATCCGGACAGACCGAGATTTACAACATCCGAGCTTAAAGAAATTTTACAAGAAAGAAATGAATTAAGAGCTAAAATTAGTGATTTAGAAGATGAATTAGAGTTATATAGACCTAAAGGCACAACAGAGTATGTAATTGTGTTTAAAAAAAAAACATTATTAAACACAAACAATTTACCATATTTTTGTTTTTCGAATTTGCAATAAAAATTCACCAGTCGAAATTATAATTGTTATTTTAATTTTAGGAATGATACTGATGCACCTGTTCAAGGTCCGCTACCCTATGAACCTGATGACGCACCCTGGAAAAAAACATCTGGTACTAATATTCGAAAATTGTAAGTAATTTTTATATAAAATTGAATTAAAGTGTGACACTCTGTACCTGTAGATATTTTATAATAATAATTTTTTTTTTTTTTTTACAGTTTTCGTAAATTATTTAATGAAAACAACATCACCTTTCTTGGGGGAAGCCCAAAACGGAGTTTTTCAGCATTGTCCAAGATGGGTTTCACAAATGGTGCGACTAACAGCACTGGCATATAAAAAATTTTTTTATCAAGCATTATTACATTATTGTTTATGGAAACAAAATAATAATTTAGATTTTATTACTTATATTGATGGTGATGGAAATTTACAATTCATATTCGACATATTCAAATCACCTTAAATAATATTTGCCTTTAAAATTGTAATGTAGGACGAAATAATAATAATAATAATAATAATAATATTTTGTTAAATAACAAGCAGTATTATATATAATAACGTAGATGCAGTAGTTGAGTAACAAAATGTACATTAATGTTGAAAATTTTGTTTTTATTTTTATTTTTTTAAAAAATTATTTCCTTTCGGTAATTAATGCTTTTTAAATTCCATTAAAAATGTATTTTGATAAAAATTTGTTTAAAAAAAAAAAAAAAAAGTTAGTAAAAATACATTGTAAAAAGCAATGAAAGTCAAATTATATTTTAATTTTATTTACAATATTTTTTTACAATATTTATTTATACATATAGCATATCAAAAAAAAAAAGAAAAAAATAGCAAAAGTTTCAACATTTTTAAATAATTGCCTTGTTTAATTTATTGTATAAAATTTAATTAAACAACATATAATTTTATAATAAGATATTTGCTTTAATTTTTTTTTCGTTATTTTTATAGTAAAAAAAAAAAAAAAAGTAAAATCAATTTTTTTTAAAATACTCATACATATATATTTTATTACTGATAAAAATATCAATATATTATTTTAAATAAATGTTAATTATATATATAATGGTTAGGGATTTTTACTATTTTTATTATGTTTTTTTTTTTTTTTTTTTTTTTTTTACCAAGTTTATATTAAAGAATAAAATTTTATAAATGATGTGAGTGAATTTTTCATGCTTATAAAAAAAAAAAA